TCTTCTTCTCATTCGTCATGTATTTGTTTTGTGCGCCTGAGTGGAACTATCCGGTTCCTTTTTGTTGTTGACTTGTTTTTGTCTGATGCATTGGCGTACAAAGTCTCTGCGGTAACCGTTGCGGGAAACCAAGTCAAACAGATTATTGAGCTCGACTCAGTAGGTTTCTTCGTCAGAGCAGTGTCTCTTAGCTCAGTGTAGCAGACTGTTGACGACCCGCATTTTGTGAGAGATGGGATTGTTTCTCTCATAGTTAAGAATAGCTTTCGCACAGGTGTCTTTGTGGTAAACGGTCGTTTGCAATGTTCGTCAGTAATTCGCTGCACGCGAAAATCCAGAAATATGAGTTTCTTGTTAAACTCCTTCTAGAGCGTGAATTAAATGCCCGGAATGATGGAGTTGATGGTGTTATGGAGCGCTTCGAATCGGCCCTTCTTACCGACAAGCTTCTTGTCTACATATCGTACTCAGAATTTAGGGTCAATCGATGGGAGGGCTGTCGAGTCTTGCTTCCGTATTCTTACTGCGGCAAGAAAGCCAGATATGGTTGACCCCATTGGAGCTCATTTTAAATGTTGATAGCATTGCTGGGTATGTACAAGTCTGCGCATATTTCTGGTTTATATTTTGGCCTGAAATGTCTGCTTATGTCCGCGTACTCGAACTAGTGTCGCCTAAACGGGCTGGCTGTAGATGTTCTGGGCCAACACGGGGGGCAGATCAGGGTACGACAGGCGTTATTCTGCTTGCGCGCCGATAAAAAATGCCAAACGTGGGGGGAGGAGGCTGGCACGCATAGGGGTGTGCCTCGGCCGCGCCAGCCACCTGCGCCCGATTCCGCCTCCGGTCATCTGGATTCTGTCTTCACACCGGGCAAGAGGGGATGAGGAATGAGGGGGGCACGATAGATGCTGCACAAGTCTAGCGTTAATTAAAACCAAATCATGCGCAAGTCACCACGTTTGTCTTCAGAACACTAAAGTAGGCGATGGCATAGTCGACCCCGGCGATGCTCATTGAAAGTCTGGCTGACTTAAAGTTTCAAAAATTCCCATTAGAGTATTCAGAAGAGAAGTCGGCGAGGGAAGAAGGCTTTCTTTAAATTCTCAGCAGGCCAGTTGGAGGAGTACGAAACTGTTAATGTTCGTATGCTGTGCAGACCAGGTTTTCTTTCGATAAATGCTTCTTCGGACGTTACCGTCAGGTCTGCCACTTACGAGAACGTCCAAGACGGGAAGTTAACTTGCCGTTTTAACTTCCCACGTGTACTTATTGGACGAATGTACTTGGCTGACAGCATTTAAGAGTGCATCTACATAGTCTTTGGTTGCGGGGATCGCGGAGATATCATCAACTTAACGACCATAGTGTTTTAACTTGTGGATCTGATCGCTTAGTTGAAACTTCTCTAGCCTGCCCATGTCAACTAGGAGAGGTCCGAGAGGTTAGCCAATAGCAACACTGTACATTTGTCTGCATAATCGGCTGTCACAAAGGGACTGCACATCTTATTAATAGTTCATTCATTACCTTTGTTGGGATTCCCATTTCCAGCTGATTTGTCAATAAGAATTCGCAAATCTAGTCGATTGTCTCCGTAAACGCGACTTTTGTAAACGTCCATGGGACGCCTACAGTGAGCATTCTCATATAGCTTAAGTTCACTTCTTTGATGTCATCGATAAATTCGAACGTGTCTCGATAGCTACTTGTGAATTTTGTGATGTTGTGGATGTCCAGAATCGGACGAACTGGCAGGCCATCCTTGTGGATCTTTGGTAGGCCGGACAAACGGAGGATGATAGCGCCTGCTGGTCAGAGGTTATCGAGGTCACTGTCGCGTACGAAACCTCCGGCGAGGAGTCTTCTTAAGCAGTCAGTTAGCCGTGTTTCTACTTCGTCTGTGCAACCCTTTTCTTTGTCTACTTTTTAGAATTTTTTCTGATTTGACAGGAGCGTTTGCATCTCCCGTAACACTTATATATTCCGATCTGTTCATTATAACGACATCCTTTTCTTTACCAGGTCTAGTTAACAGGATGTCTTTGTTCTCTAGCAGCTGTTTTAATTTTTCTAGGTGTGCTTTTGTCAGCAATCATTGGGTTGTCGGACTCTTGTTCGGATACTGGTAAAAACACTTCATCAGTGTTGCTTTCAAGTGCTGGACACTTTCTGTTGGGATGGGCTATAAATTATAAGTCTTGTTATGAAGTTTCTAAATTTAACTGATCAACCTTTTGAGTAGGCATTCAGAATTGAGGACCCAGGGACCATTTTAGGGTCAAGCCGTGTCACGAACCATCCCAGCAACGAGAGTTCGGGTATTATTCTCAACCAACCGGTCTTACATGGGGAAGGTAAGGATGGGTTACCAGCTCAGCCCACCTTCATGTGTATCTACTCCTTTACTTGCACCAATGGAGCAGGTTATATTGGTCGCACGAGTCGGCACCTATCTAAAAGAATATAGGAACAACTCCCGGCATGGCTGAGAAAGTATGAAGCCAGGAGCATAAACAACTCTATTCTAGCGCACATGGTTGATTCGGGACATTGTGTATACCCCAAGGAAGCCTTCTGGGTGATCTATAAGGTCCCGCCAAACTATCCAAAGTCCCTGGGTCAGCGCCTGCTTGCAACGGCAGAAGCGACCGCTATCAGGTTGATGCAGTCAGCGTTGTGGGCACAAAAGGGCCTCCTAAAAACTCCACGTCTGGCGTGGCCCACAGTCACTTAGCGATATGCACTCGTCTGCACTCTGTTTGTGTCTCTCCCCTCCCCCTCCCCCTCCCCCTCCCCTAGGCTGACTCTACCAAACCCTGCCCTCTTTAAACAGCCTTCTCTTATCGACCCCTCCCCCTTATGCCCTCGATTCACTTGTAGGAGAAGACGACCACATTTTACTTTGACCCCTGTTTCCATATAAATGGACTAGCCCGACGAGAATTCATCGAAAGCCTACGTACGCTCGCCAACTAATCTTCTCTCTGATTTATCAATAGACTTGATTCAGAACCGTTTGCGATCGAGTTAACTTGGTATGACTGGTACCATTTGGTGATTACTTCATCCAGTCTGGAAATTGTGTGAATGCTCCATGCCGATGAAATTATCTTTAAATGGAATCAAACAGACATTATTATGCTCCTATTCCCATACTGAATGAACAAAGATCGAAATACGGCATTCACTAAAAACCAAACAAGGCTTACCTTAAAGCAAAGCTGGTTGCTATGGCAGATAAAGCTGACTGTTTGGTCGCAGTCATCTATTCTATACATCGCTGTTTTGAATATCACTTTGGCTGCATTTCTTGGCATAGTATTACCTCAATGTTTAGTGGTTCGTGAATCAATAACCTAGTCATCTAGCACTTTGAGATAAAACGCTGATTTTAAAATTCATTTTTATTAACGATACGTAGTTTATTGTGGCCAAACTGAAAAATGCGCCTCATCCCACATACACCAACATGAATCAGCGGTCAGAAGACGAGACCATTTATCCCAGGTGGCCATGCACACACTAGAAACCACCCACGAATTCGCATGGGAGGATACACGGATTGTTGGCCCTTATCCAACTAGAAAAGGCCGTGAATTCCTGGAAGCAGTGCACACAGACGAGGCATGCATCAACAGGCACATCGATTTGGACGCCAGCTATACTTATCTCAGGGCCAAGTTCCATGCGCACAACCAGACACGGCAAAATGACAGAACGTATGTAACGCCTACTGTTGCAGAATGGCATCATCCTGCCAATCGGTGTGCACGTCAGATGATTATTGATTTTTCTGGATGTTTAAAATTCTAATTTTCCGTTGCATACTTTCTCGGGTCTGAGGACGAGCGGGGGAACCTGTCTCAAAAATTTTCATATTAAAGTGTTAATCTTCCCAAAGAAGCCTTTCTCTTCTTAATTAACGCAACTGTTTGCTTATTCTCGCTGCTCTTGTAGGTCCTGAATCAACGAATTACAGTTTTGTGCACATTGGCATTGGAGTCCTAGTCACCATCTTCTTCCTCGCCATTCTCGTCATCCTTGTCCTGATTCGCGAACGTCGGCGGAAGCGAAAACTGGCAAAGGACCCCCTGGCGGAGGGTTCACCCTCAGCCAACCACCTTCCAAAGCAGAAGCACCCGCTGGTCTACGCGCCAGATGGTCTAGTCAAACCCTTCCTCTGCACCTCCAGGGAGAGCTTCCGAGGCCTTGGTGAGCCTGGGACACCTGGGCTGCCCAACACCGATCGTGTCTGTCCCCATCGCAATTCCCTCACCTCCTCCGGCGTCCTCATGCCTGACGGAGACCTGAGACATGCAAAGAGTTATGCAGATATGTCCTCACAACAGCAGCCACAGTTTCTGGAACATCAACAGCAGCAACAATATTCACATTCCAATTTCCATAGGTGTCAGAATTCGCATAGTCAGGCGCATCTGCCCAAATTCCAGCACAACGGCGGCACCCCAAAGGTCGTCAGCCATTGTCGATACCAGCATCATGCAAACGACCCG